AAAACACACAAAAACATCTGCTTCACGTGGTGAGAATCAACGGCTACAAAGACGAGAACTGAACCTTCACAGAGCGCTGGCCAGAGTTTCCGCTTATCAGGCGATCAAGGACAGACGATACAGTTATCTATCAATGATACACACACACACCCAAACACACACACCCTGTCAGTGTGTTTGATCTGTCGCTCCACTCGGTCGGGAGCTCCACTGAGTGACAGGATCATATTTCCCAGGGTGCGGTGCAGAAGTTGGAGCTTTTCTGTTCAGCATTTGTCAGCTGACATTTGGACCACCCGCTGCCACGGGGGGGGGAGGGGGGGGGGGGATTACAGGTGTCGGTGAACTCAGATCATTTATCTGTGTCAATAAATCTGAGAAGATTCCAAAATTAAAAGACAAAATATTGTCCTACCTGTACGCAGCGTCAGCTACAAGCTATCTTCGAAATAACAAAAATTAAATTCTGAGATGAGGAAATATAGCATTTACCTCCAAACTTTGGTTTAAAAATGTTAAACGTTCGCTCAGATGAAATAAAACCAATCTTAGCATCTAACGAAGTATAACGATGTCTACGTCAAAAGATCGGGACGGCTGTAAAAATTACAATGTCTGTCTTAAAACTTTTAGATTTTTGCCTTAAAAAATGTAATTATCAAAATCCCCACAAAAACAGAACTTTTCAGTTTGATTTACTAGCAGATCTAGCCAATAGCGCTGTTCTCGCACATCGTTAAAAGGCAAACAGATTCATTCACTGTTTTGCTGTTAGCAAGTAAGTTAAACAGACTTCCTGTTGTTTCTGGTTGTAATCATGGGGTTAATTTCATGCTCAAAATTCCTGAGATATCGGAATATTCTGGGGTTTTTTTACGCCAGTGTAAACACGTCCTATTAATGCCTCTGTGCCTGCTCTACAGTACAGTACTTCCAAGGAACTCCACCACCAGAGGACATTCAGGAATCTGATGTTTATTCAAACCTGATTTTTTTGGAAAAATGATTCACAATTCCGTGACGTATCAAATGAGCCTTGAACATTCCAAACTGATTTCCTGTCAACACGGAGTATCACGACTGTTAAACGTGTCACATAGAATGTACCAGAATGACTGAATGATTCCCACGCATTACATAATGTTTTAATAACATATTTTTTAAATTTATTGACGGAGACCACAAACTCCCGGGGAACATGTTTCCAGATGGTAGCGATCAGATCAGAAGTCGTCCTGCTTTCCGCTAGATTATATTTAAATGGAGAACATCGGACCTGAGTCCGTTTCTTACACACGGTCTGTAGTTCGTCTCCACACACGGCTCTGTGGCATTAATGGAAAACAGCGCAGTCCGAGGCCCCGATATAATATTTCTCTAGCCCGGAGCTGTTTCTAGGAACTGCCATTCCCGGTGACGGACTGGCCAGCTGACTCAACGGGTCAGATCCCGGTTGGTCGGCCGCATCTGTGCACTGTCAAATAAAGTCCACGTTCTAACTGATTTGGTCAGGCTCTGTGGGAACCCTCTCTCTGGGGCCCTAAAGAGTCCGAGTGCGCCTTCAAATCCCAGATTGAGTTCCAGCGCTGGGCTCTTAAACCCCGCCCTCAAACCAGGAGATCCGAAGCTCTTGTCGGTTATGATTACCGTTAAAAACCCTGCGCTGGAAATCAATACAGGATCCTGCGGCAGCTCCAGGTGGTCCGGTCTCCAGGGCTTTGTGCACAAGTGCTGGATGGAGATGTACGCCAGAAAATGATCTGAACCCGAGGCGGCTGTTCGTACGAGGACAAATTGCTAATTTCCAACAAAGCCAATAATTAACGTCCGCCCGGCGTTGAGCAAATTTCTTGCGTCCAGAAACGTCTCAGGTATCCAAACCAAGACTGACCTCGGTCGCAAGAAAACTCCCACTGACTCTGATCCAACATCCAGACATGTGAAACTGTTTCCCCTGTCGTTTCCCATCAATGGGAATTACATATTTTCCTTCACTTGTGGTTCAGGGAAAACAAATCTGAGCGAAGGAGCAGCGGGAAAAGACCGAGCTGACAGAGTTCCATTAGGGAGTCGACTTATGGGCCACATTCCTGTCCACTGTGACACATGTTCACTGTGGGCCGGGACACTTCCTCTGAACTCGATTCTCACTCTGGACCAACATGCATCACTGTCACATCTTCTTCTCTCTACTCTGGCCACTCTTTTTTTTCTTTTTTTCTCTGTGCAGCAGGAGAATTTATTCATCTTTACCAACAGAAATAGATCTGAGGTAAAAAGGTTTTTTTTTTCCTCCAAAGTCAGAGCAGAGGAGTGTTTTCATAAATCAAGACAAAGAAAAAACGATTGGTCGATGATCGGTTGAAGCTGGATTAAAGGAGAAACCAGACCTGTGTTTACATGAGAGTCAGAGATTGATTTGATATTTGACTCTACAGGTGATGATATCTACAGGACTGTGTCGCAGAAAGTCAGCAATTTAGAGGGAATGTGAATAAAAATAATAATATTAATAATAATAATAATAACTATAATTTTACTTTACTCCAATAATGACAAGAAATAGCTAAAAAATACAGCACAGTCAATTATATACAACTGGACAAGTTTGCCGGGCCGGATTAAAATCCTAAATGTACCACATCCGGCCCCCGGGCCACGGTTTGTCCATGTCTGGTCTACACTGAGGTCTGCTTCAGTTGGATCTTTGTCACACCACTTCTTTTCTTGGTCTCACGTTGAGTCACCTGCAGCAGATGTGGGTCACCACACTGCCCCCTCTGGCCTGACCCTGTAAGAACACCTTATGACGACTCTGGGAGAAGAACCCAGGACCACAGCGAGGTCTTGGGTTTCAAACGTCTCTTCTCTTTGGCAACCTGAGCCATCTGGAGCTCCAATCTCTGAGCTTCTTCATGCTGTCACCTCATCTGCTGCTCTGCTTCCTCTTTCATCTGCCTCCCCCTCCTCTCCCTCCTCCCCCTCCTCCCCTTCCTCCCGCCTCACCGAGTCTTTCATACAGCATCTCCGCCGCTGCATCCTCCACTTTTGAAGTAGCATGACACACGCGGCGTGTAAACAAGGAGCCGTTTGCACACTTCCTCCCGCGTTAGCGTCAGGTGGAGCAGCGAGCTAACGATCCGACAAGGCCGCGGTGACAGACGACTCCAGGCTCCTGTGACGACGACGTCGACGGCGGCGGCGACGGCGGCTGAAGGTGCTCCTCTCCTCCATTTAACACAATCAGTGTTGGCCCACTCAGTGAACACACACTAACACACACGCAGCAGACAGACTGAGGAGCAGAACAACAGACGTCGTGCCAGCGCTAGGTGCCAAACACTCCAGTAAGATTTATCCTCCTGGCAGAAGAAGCAGCATCAGATGTGTGAAGTAAACAGAAACAGCCAACGGAGCCAACGGAGCCAAGGAGCCAAGGAGCCAAGGAGCGACTTTCCGCTCCGCTACGGCCTGGCAGAACCTGGCAGAACCTGACTTTTACGTTTAACATTCTACTGTAGGTCCACGTGTTGGTGTTTTTGTTTTGTTTTTTACACACCCACCAAGTTTTAGGTATAAAATTAAAAAACAAAGAAGTGCAATTTTGCAGAATTAGCTTCAAATCATGAATTGAAATAGTCCATAAAAGTCAAATCTTGAACATCACGTTGTCCAAATGCAGCTGCAGTGGAACGCCACAGATACAAACTCCCCGAAATATGAGTTTTCCAAGTTAGCCCCGAAATACAAAGTTTTCCAAGTTACGAGTCAGCGACTACTGCAGGATTTTCCTTGTGATACAAGGAAACATCACTGCAGGATTTTCCTTGTGATTTGAGGAAACATCGAGTTACGATAACGATTTTCTCGCTCACTGTCCCTCTCTGGGTTATTTCACCCATTTTTATAACAAA